GGGAAGGGGAGGGATTAGGCCTCCGGTAACCTCACTAACACGGCGAACACAACGCTGTGGGTTATTTCACGCCGGTATTCTGTGAGAACGTGGTATCACTCCGGTTGAGCCGACCCATTCGTGCCGAAGCATGGCTCTCCCACACTTAATTATTTAAACCTTTGTAAACATGACACGGTCAACGATTGTGGCAGTGGCTGGGAAATTGCCTGCCGCTCACCGTATAGAGTTTTCGGATCCTGCAGCATGGTTCAACACCCTAATTAAATAATTCTTTACGTGCTACACAAATTGTTGTTCCGGGTCTGGGTATAATGGGTAGGTACGTGAATCTTTAAGTGTGTACCCACGACGAGGGAAGAAATCAAAGATGGGTAAAAGGTTAAAAAAAAAATCTCGTAAATGTCGAAAATGTCTGATACCTTCTCTTTTTTTAATAAGTGCCTAATGAATTGAATATTTACTGTTCACGCCTTTCCCTTATATCTATAAAGCAGAAATCATAGGACACCTAATGACACAACTGGCCTTTGATTTCATCACTTAATATTTTGTCTCTCTCTCTTTTTCTCACTCATTTTTTTTCTCATTTCAGCTAAATGCCCTAAGGGCGAACATTCTGTCCTCTACTGCCCACAAAAAGCTGAGCCATCATGTGACAACCCTACCCTCCATGATATGGAGTTCTCTGGACCCTGTGACATCCCTCAATGTTTCTGCGACACACCAAAAGTCAGAAACACGAAGACTGGGAAATGTGTCAAGCTTGGTGATTGTGAAAAAAATACAATAATATAATTATCGTTCTGAAAAAAGTGAAATTAAAATCATTTGATCCAATTACAGAGAAAGTTTTTTTTTATTTAAAAGTACACTAAAATCATCGTTAGTATCTTTTTTTTTAAATCTTTATTTTATAAAAAGGGCTTTTTTCCAAACAGAAATTTTCATCCCTATTATTGTGTACAAAATTCAGTACTTACTTATCTCACAGACGGGGCCCTATAGGGCTGATGTTCAGCCGGGGTTGCGGGGTAAGCGCAATGAGGCACCGCAACCTCGGCCCAGAGCAGGAGAAGGAACAGGGGGGTTTTTAGTCAGTAAGAGTCTGACACTCCCTCCCGCCCGGCTCTGGGCGGGAGAAGTCATTTGATGATTTTCCCCTCACAAAAAAAAGTACTTACTTATCTACCTACTTATTAAACCATACATAGGTTTAGCTAGCTCTTAACTTTAAACAAAATAATTAGACGATACAATTTTTTGGCCTCAGATGATAATGGTGACCCTAGCACACTATGATAAAAACCAATATCATAACTGTTAAAACTAAAATCCTGATATCTCTGAGACTCAATACAACGGCACTCATACAAAATGTGTTGCACGTCCTCTAAGACACCACACACAGCACAATCGTATCTGTTATTTATTTGTGTTTGAAACTTTATTCACCAAATAAAATACATCAACAAAAACCTTATTTCATTTAGTTTTAGTCACACTACGTCATTGGTGATTTTTTTTAAAGCCGAAACAACTAAGAATCTACTTTTCCCCACCCTAAACTCGACTCTAAAACTTAGTTTTTGTGTTTAGGTACACCTATATTATCAAAACCCACCAAACTTCACATTGAAAATAAATCACCTACATACAAAAAAAAAACAAACAAATCGCTTCTCCTTCCCAAAACGTCTAGCTACCAGCAACGCTAACTTGAAAGAATCTTCCGACTTTGAAATGACAGAGGACACGGCATATTTCCCGAATTTTCGAGAATGTTCGCTGGATACGGAGCCGGCGCTAAACGTCCACAACACACAAATAATATCTTACACTCGAGGTGCGCGAGAATTCCATATTTTATGCAGGTCTACACAGAAACCTACTAAAACGAATATATTCAGCATAAATAGGTGGCTGGAGGTAGTTTTATAGGGGACGATACGACAACGATACGATTGTATGAAATATTTTAACAACTGTACTATTTATATAACATAACAATTTAAGTGGAGAGCTATGCTTCAGCACGAATGGGTCGGCTCGACCAGAGTGATACCACAGCCTCGCAGAAAACCGGCGTGACCACAGCGTTGTGTTTCGCCGTGTGAGTGATTGGTTACCGGAGGCCCGATACTTGCCTTGCCCAAATCCCTTCCCAAGCACTAAATCTCCAAATCCCTAATCCTGAAAAGGTCGACGGCAACTCCTCTGTAGTTGCGGGTGTTTATGGGTTGCGCTGATTGCTTACCATCAGATATACTGCCCGTTGACCGTCCTAGTACATAAAAAAGTCCCTGAAGAGGTAGGTAGACACACACAATGTAACAGCTGCACAGTGGCTGGGCAACTAACTGTCGCGCTACGTGTCGCGGGTTCCTGCACGAAACAACTATTTGTGTGATCCACAAATTGTTGTTCTGGGTCTGAGTTCGTGTTTATGAAATTGTATATTAGTAAATACACCTACGACACAGGAGAAAACGCCAAGGTGGGGCAACGTTTTTTTTTACAAAGAAAGTAAAATAAGTGGTGAAAGCCCTTACCAGTTTTGTGTTAAGTTCCATAAAACCTGGAGTAAGCTTCAAAATCCAATAAAAGATATTTACTCACTTTGCCGCATCCAAAAATCTTAACTAATTTTACAAAATGATTTTCAACACTTGACACTGTGATACGATAAATAAATATTGTGAGAGTGTGCTTTTTATTAAAATTCATATTTAAAGAAATACAATCGTTAGTTGTAAATGGCTTCCCAACAACTCTTGGCCACCGGACGCAAGAAACGTACCCGTATAGGATATCTTATGATAATATATTTTGCTGCATGGCTTTGCGATATCCGTGGCCAAAGTATTCCTATTTTTGTCGTCCAGTTCGCGACCACTTTTTATAACAAAATTTTAAACGAAACTTGAATCAAAAGAAGAAGCGTGTCTTAGATATTCAAGTTCGTTGACCTTTTCAATTTATTTATAAATACACTGGGGCACCATGAATATGTGAATGTTTATTCGATAGCAATTACCTAAAATACTCGATATTTCTTTGGGATCTCTCTACTAGTTTCGAACCACAGAGGGGTTCTTCATCATGAGCAGTGTACGGCTTTGTCGCGCAGCCTACTGTTTCGCAGTATATACACGTGAGTAACCCGCGATTTTTAGTTAATTTAATATGTCTCACGATAGTTATTATAAAAAGATATTTTTTGGGTGCAAAATCTTTTTGTGTCTTATTTAAAAACGATGCTTCAAGTTACTCATCAATGCTCAATCATCACAAATATAAAATCACATGTTGTTATTCCAACATCGTTTAAAAAGGACTACAAGTACTTTTATTAGAATTTTGTATTTTTATTTATTTTTAAACTTGATTTTTACATTTTTAAATATTTTCATAAAACAAAAAAAAACACTTAAAAATATAAAAAGCAGTATCCCACCGGTTACGGGAGGGTTCCAAGCAACCGGTGGTCAGGGTTCCAGAGAAAGGAATCTCTGGACAATGCGCGCCGTGTCTAGAAGTACAGCTTTCTGGATCAGATTCTTGACCCAACCATCTAACGTAAGCCTGCTTAGGTGTTTATCAAGGCTTTTAGCCATGAGACCATTGGCAGACACGACTATCGGCACAATGATTGCTGAGTCTACATCCCACATGTCGACAATCTCATGAGCTAAATCAAGATATTTACTTGCTTTATCTTTTTCAGCTTTCACAAGATTCTCGTCATGTGGGATTGTTATATCAATAATCATTGTGCGACGGCTAGATCGATCTATCATCACAATGTCAGGTTTGTTGGCTACAATTGTCCTATCAGTGATGATAGTTCGATCCCAATACAGTGTGACATCTCCATTCTCGAGAACTGGGTCAGGCAGATACTTATAGTACGGCACTTCAGATTCAACAAGTTTGTATTTTAAAGCAAGTTGCTGGTGGATAATCCTGGCCACGAGGTTGTGTCTATGCAAGTACTCTCCATTAGCTAGGTGAGAACAACCCGAAATTATATGTCGGATGGATTCCCCTGGGCGATGACATGCCCGACAGATGTCAGCCGTACCATCCTTTATAATATATTTTCGATAATTGTTCGTCAGCATAACTTCGTCCATAATTGCACAGACAAAACCTTCTGTTTCACCAAATAAGTTGCCGAAACGTAGCCAGGATACGGACGCTAAGAAGTCTACCTCTGGCCCATGTAAAGCCCTATAGTAGCGTCCGTGCAGCTCTTTGCTTTGCCATACATCCTTACGGTCCTTAGTGCTTAGTACTACAGGTTTTCTCCAATTCTCGTTAGCTAAGGAGAGCGCAGTAAGTCCTTTGTCCACAGCGACAACATCTTGGTGCATCCCCACTTCCATTTTTAAGAAGTAGTTTCGGAGACTGCACACTTCACTGTTGTGGAGGGCTTTGGCATTTAAAAAGCCTCTTCCTCCACATTTCCGTGGAATGTACAGTCTCATTACCGATGATCGTGGGTGATGCATCCGATGCTCAGTCAGCAATGAACGGACTTTTCTATCCAGGGCATCTAATTCCGTTTGAGTCCACTTGAGTATGCCAAAGGAGTACATCAGTACTGGCATGACCCAACCGTTGTAGGCACGCACCTTGTTACCGCCCGATAAAAGACTGTTTAGAACTTTCCTCAGGCGGCCAAAGAAACGTTCCCGCAACGTTTGCTTCATGACGGCAGTATCGATGCCCAACGCTTCTGACATACCCAAGTATTTATAGCTATCTATTTATTAGAATCATTTTTACACTTTCAATTTTTGTATGTTATGTACTTAATTACTTTTAAAGTCAAACGATACAATCGTTAGACATTTGGAGATGTCGACCCCCTAAAATGTTGCACTGTATTTTATCGGTAGCTTATCCACTACTTGAGCCACGTGGTTAATCAAAAACAATTTCTAGATAACTCTATAATGGATAAATTTACACCGAAAATTGTGTGTCAACGATTTTTATCGAAAAAATCACAGGCGTCGCTAATCGATAACAGAATTTATGTAACCGTTTATCTTTTTATAATCGTAATGCTAAACGAAATTGATAAGTACTTATTGAAAAAAATTCTTCAATGGCGACAGACATGTTTTGGATTTTAGTATTTAGTTTGTTTATAGCCAATGCTTTTAGTGAAGATGTTAGGATAGTTAGTTTAGATATAGGAGATTTGAGAGGTGAGAAGTACTGGAACGGTGATTTTTATGAGTTTTACGGAGTTCCCTATGCCACTGCTCCGACAGGAAGGGATAAATTTAAGGTATGTGTTTTTGTAATTAGTTACTTGCATGAAAAGAGTGATTTTATGTGAAACGAAATTGTCAAAACAGATCTTTAAATAAGTGATTTTTTTAATAACAATTGAAGAGCTTTAGAATCAAGTGTTTTAATAAATACAACAATACAAGTTGCAATTTTAAAATTGTTATCTTTATCATAATGTAGCATGCAATAGTCGAGTCACATTTTAATTAACTACCTTCAGTTTTCTATTTATAAGTACGCAAAAATTCCGTACATCCGAGAGGAAAATCAAGTTTGAATATTATTTTGCAAATAAAATCTGTTTAATATTCACATAATTTCATTCCAGGCCCCACTTCCAGTAAAACCATGGGAAGGCATAAAAGACGCCAAGGAACAATACATATCATGTGAACAAATCTACCTCCTAGACGATGACTCTGATGAAGAAATCATCCTAGATGGCATAGAAGACTGTTTAACTATGAACCTCTTTGTTCCAAAAGTTGCCAATGAAGACAATTTAGTGCCAGTTCTAGTCTACATTCACAGTGGAGCATACTCTGGTGGCAGTGGAAACATGGCCAAGTTCAATTACTTAGCTCGCCACGACATATTAGTTGTCAGTTTCAATTATAGACTTGGATTCAAAGGATTCGCATGTCTAGGAACAGAAGAAATACCAGGCAACGCTGCCTTAAAAGACCAACTCGCCGCCTTGAAATTCATAAACAAATACATTAGCAAATTTGGCGGCGATCCCAAAAAAGTAACACTTGCTGGCTTCAGTGTAGGAGCGAGTATGGCTGAGATACTAGCACTGTCCAAAGCAACAAACGGTTTGATTGACAAACTAATACTCGAAAGTGGTTCGGCGTTATCCCCCTTCGCAGTTAACAGGGACCCGATCAATACGGCCAAGAATTTAGCAATATCTATGGGTTATAACAACACAGAGAAAATTGAGGATTTGAACGAATTCTTATTAAACGCACCGATCAAAGATTTAGCTGTTAAAAGCAAGAATTTCTACTTAACAAACTCTACGTTTGGTTTGGCACCGTGCATTGAGAATGTTATTGGAAACGCTGAACCCATACTCACGGAGTCGCCTTTGATTATATTTCATAAAGGAGATTATGAAAAAATACCAGTGCTGACTGGATTCTCTAATATGGAAGGTATAAGCAGAACTATAAAATTCGATGAATGGAGCGATTTAATGAATGAAAAATTCGCTGATTTTCTTCCTGCTGATTTGGCTTTTGATAATGATAAGTCAAGAGATGATTTCATAACAAAAGTAAAGAAGTATTACTTCAAAGACGAAGAGGTTACTCACGATACCGTACAAGGCTACATAGATTACTTTTCTGACTCCATGTTCAAATATGGTATAATGAAATCAGCAAAACTGCACGCTATGAAATCTAAAAAACCAGTGTTCCTTTATGAATTCTCCTACGTAGGGAAGTTAAGTTTCAAGCACTATTTTATGGATAGAATTAAAGGAGCAAGTCATAGGGACCAAACTTCTTATTTGTTGGACTTTTTCGAGTTTACCAATGAAGCTGATGATATGAACACACGGGACCGAATGACAGCTATGTGGAGTGATTTTGTTAAATATGAGTAAGTATATTGAATTTTTATGTTCACTACCTTTAAAACGTCGTGGTAGTTCGGAGGTCAAAACCGGGTTCAAAACCTGGTAAGTAGCAATGTAACTTTTCCCAAGTTATATGCACTTTCTATGACTATTTTGACACCGCAGATATTCGGCGAAGGAAAACATTGTCTGGCCTAATAATTTCAAATTAATAAGTTTAAAATCGCCAATCCGCCTTGAGCAAGCGTTGTGATTAATCTCTTAATCTTCATGTGGGAAGAGGCCCTTCCTCAGAAGTGCAATAAATCTTAATGAACAATCTTCAGTCAGTGGTAGTTACTATTATTAATCACAAATATATGGCTTTGACAATTGGTCGGCTCAGTAACCAAATAATGGTTACTCTACTGAAATAATACTTTTACATAACAGTATGTCTCCCACAAACCTGTACAAACTGTACCTTTAGATCAAATTGATTGTACGGGTGTTGATCTGAGATATTTTTTAGAACTTTTGGTTTTTTGATTATATGGTAACACAGACCGACTTTACGCTTGGAAATAGACTGATCCTTATTCTAATGGAATTATTCACATTATTTGCCTAAATTTCATAAGAGAGATTTTTAGGCTATTAATTGTTTTGAAATTATTTTTAGCAATCTTTGGAAGTCTATCCATTCCATTAATTACATGACATGATTGAAAAACAAGACATACACACATATGTTTTTTTTGTTCTATGTTTTTTCTGAGTTACTTAGAAGATACCACAAATGAAGGTTTAAATGATAGTAAACATCGTAAAGAAACCTGAACTAATAATCTCAAATTATAATATTGTAATTTGAGGCAAGGGTGCTGAAAACTTTTTCGTGCGAAGAAAGGCCTTTGCTCGCAGTGGGCATTTACAACTCATAATAATGATAATGGTGATATTAATACTAATCATAATAACGTTTCTTTACAGAGATCCAACAGCGTATGAAAGCTTGCTGATAGACCTAAAATGGCCAAGGTATACCAATGATAAGCAAGAGTACTTGGAGATAGGAAATACTTTGAACAAGAAGAAGGATTTGTTCAAAAATGAATTTAAGCTATGGGATGAAGTGTATGAAAAATACTATTGGCATCCAATGCCTGTAGTGGCAAAGAAAACAGTCAATAAAAAATGAAAATGCTACTGGCAGGTTTTTATTTTAATAATCATTAGTACTTAACAAAAGCTATGCATTTACTAAGTCGAGTGCTTTACTACCAGGTGTAACGTCTAATCATTTGGCACCGAAAAAAGTAAATTAATTATTCTGTTAAAATATTAAACGAGAAAGTTTGTAAGTATAAACGTTTGTTCCTATACGTTAAAACGACTGAACAGAATGAAATTTAAAGATTATATCTGGCATAACAAGCAGGCTATTTTTTAACCTGGTCCTCCAGTTCGAGCTATTGGCAGAAGCTAGTATTAGTATACACATATATGGTAATTAGTACAACACAGCACCGTATCAATGTTTAGTAGACACAGTGATCAATTTGTTGTTAGATGCACAAGATGGTGATTAAGGACTCAATACATCGTTGTGATAACAACCTAACCTGCAAATAATTTCCTAACAAGCGGACTTCAAAACAAACAGTAAAATCTCCGAAAACAGAATTATATTCAAACCGTTTAGCCTAAAATAAACCCCAAAATCTTTAAAAAGCTATTATTCAAACAGATTTAAAAGTTCAATATAAAATCCCTTCAATTTATAGACCCTTAAAAGTGTCAACTTGCCAACACAACGTCCGCAAAGGTTTATTTTCTCTTGACAAATTGCATCTAACGATATATCAACATTGTCTGCGACCCTCCTAACATCTTCAGAAACAAAAAATAAAAAGAGTTCAAAAAATATTTTACGCTTTCTTCATATCAAAAGGAATGATCACCATTTTTCAACGCCTGACGGTTTGGGAGCCACCCCTTCAGAATCGATGGGTTTTTATAAAGAAAATTCTAAACCATACATTTTTCTAGCAATATTAACCCCCGGTGCAGGTTCCTGCGATTTTGTTTTGGTGCAATTCATAAACTGATAGATATATTAATTTTAACTTGGTGTTTTAATGTTATTTATTTGAATTATATATTAAACTAGCTACTCTTGCGCGGTTTCACCCGCTGCTAGACTCCATTTAACCGTAGCGTGATGTTTTAGCCTATAGCACTTAGAAACATTGTAGCTATCTATCAGTTAAAGAATTTTGGAAAACCTACCAGCGGTTCCAAAGATTACCCCCTACATACAAACTTACAAATTTTACCTCTTTGTATTAGTATAGATTATTATATTAAATTGTATTGTCGTAATAGTGATATGTTTAGCTGGGGTTACTGCGGGTACACTTGCAATAATGTACCTTGCTTCTTGTCCGGAACAGGGGAAGAAGCGGATTGGTATTTAGTCAGTGAGTCTGACAAAACTGCTAGAAGATACTTGATGATTTCCTCCCTCAAAAAAAGGTTAGTTCTTATTAATCGTGCTACATAAACTCCATATCATTAAAACTCAGGCTGGCTACTTTCATGGATAAAAAATAACTTTCTTGATTGTCGTACAGATCATTTGATCGGACAATATGTTTATAATGACAATTAGTATTAAAATAGCAATCAAAAATAATTTACTCTGACCAAAATAGATCTTGGTGTCCTATAAGAAATTTTGTAATTTGTTATTAATTTGCCGCCCATGGACACCCGCAACACCAAAGGAGTTAGTTACGAGTGCGTTGCCGGCCTTTTGGGGATAGGGGTTGCAGCTATAAGGATCGGAAAGGGATAGGGCCTCCGGTAACGTCACTCACACGGCGAAACACAACACTGTGGTTGTTTCACGCCGGTATTCTGTGAGGCCGTGGTATCACTCCGGTCGAGCCGACCGATTCGTGCCGAAGCTTGGCTCTTCCACACATTTATAGTTTTTATTTAAATTTTTCCCCTAAACGATACGTACCTTGGTAAATATTCCAATCAAACGCAGAAACCGCTATCGCCCACAACTTAAAACGCCACCGGTGTGACTGACACCTCTAAACAACCGTTCCCCTTCCTAGTTGCAAATATTTGAACGATTCCAAATGATGCACGTGCTATTGAACTTTTCTCTCGAACTCCCCAAGGAAGGGAGCACTCTGTATTCCAAAAATTTGCAGGGTCACAAGAGTTGGAGGGCGTGATGTGAATTTTCACTATAAATACGATGAAGTGTTGATCCGGATAAGCGGTTGAAAACTGGTACCGTGAGACGAAGACTTTGGTTTGATTAAGAGAATGACAGTTCAGGCAATAGTGTGCAATATGTCTGGGTGATAGAACTTACATTTGTAAATCACGTGTATTGTGTTATAATTTTTTTCTATTAAAATATTACGATTGTAAAAATTTCGTACAATCACAATAGGCAAACAATTTATACATTTTAAATTCCCCCCTTCTTTAATCAAGGAAGATTTTCTCCTAAGTTTTACCTGATGGCACAGCTGTCGCCTAAGATATGACTTCTAATATAAAAAGATCAGGTCAGGTTTAATCAGTTTCTGGGATAGAAGTTTTTCAAGCATCAAGTGCACTTAGATATTTTTACTTCCAAGTATCAACAATTTTATAAAGTATGTTCCAGCTGAATATTATACTTAGGATGAGTGTCAAAAAATGCTTCTAGCATTAAGTCCTCCGATACGCAATTGTTTATAAAGAATAAATAAAAAAAGTAAACAAAAAAAATGTTCTATTCCATCTTTGCTGCTTTTTGTGGACCATCTAATATTTTGTTGATATTAGAAGAACACAAAGTTATAGTATTCCAGGTTATATAATATGATTCTCGATGTTCTATTAGCGTCTGAGCGAATATTACAAAATGAAAATAATTTGTTATAATAATCATCGCTTCAATCATAAATCAAGAGATCAGAAATTATACAGTCCACACGATCACACCTAAGGTAGACTCCAACATTAGGTCTCCAAGCCTACCATCCATACTAATCGCTTATACATTTTTTTTCGCATTCTAAGACTCACTATAGCAAAAACCAAGGATCAAAACTTAGTAACACAAAAAATAGTAACACATTTTCTACCCTTACACAAACAACGACTAAGTCCACATTGTAATGAAGCTCTTTCCTTAAATATTTCACACACTCAACGAAGCTGACATAAGGACGAAAGACACATAGTAAGCGATACTTTACACGAACAAACTGACACGCGACAAGAAGTAAATATGAAAATCTTTATCGAATACAAAGTATTAACTTTCTAAACATTAAACAGACTCTTAACAACCAGCAAACACTCTTAACTTTAGTCAACATTAGAACACAGGGTAAAATATACCCTACATCAACAAGTTTAGGGTTAAATTTTCCGTGTCCTGTTCAATTTAAAAGTATATTTATGTTTCGCTCAGTGACACAGGTGACGGTGAGATAAGTAATGTCAATTTATAAGCGTCAAAGTCACGATTCTCGGGGGAGAGGGCTGTTTGAATGGTGCGTACGCTGTATGGATGACGTCAAACTTATTGTGAGTTAATATTAGATTTTTTCTCAAGATATATTTGGATGTTTCATTTATTTGAAGACGTTGGCTTTGTATGAAATATCTGTGAAGTTTAATGGCATTGTGAAGATAAATTAGTTGATCTGTGCAGTAGATATATTATAAAAGATTGGATTGTCTGTCTGTTCATTATGTTGTTAGAAGTCCTACAGCTAAACACGTGGTAATTAGTCTTTTTTCTGATCAAGAACTTATATATAACTTGTGATAAATGGACTCTGTGCTATTTTATACTTTTTAGCAAAAACATGCTTGTACTTAACTGTTGAAAAGCTCAGAATTCTAAATGCTTGAAACCAGCAAATTAAGTGAGTATTGATATACAGGATACTTGTTATTTCGTGAATGTTTTATATCAATAATCCTTATAGGCACTTTAGGCCAACGTGGTAACCAAGGGGTTAAAAGGCCCGCTTCTTGAGTTTTTTGTAGTAAGTTCACCTTACTACAAAAAACTACGAGAAAATCCTAATGTGGGGCAATGTTTTTTTTAAAAAAAAGAAAGAACAGAATGCACGGCAGCCCGTTGCCCAATCACTGCGTAAACTTTGCTGTCAAATATTATTAAGTAGAAATTTATTGAACTAGTAATAACATAACCTCATTTCAAACAGCACCATCTTGCGTCTGTGACTGAACTAATTTTCCATGCCATACCAACACGTAGAACCGAACAGTAACTTAGTGTGTTTCCGTCACTTAATTAAGTGCAAGTAAGAGACGTCATTCATAGCGATCGGTTGCGGCATGCCGTCATCCTCGGATAGCTTGCTCGACATCCAATACTGACGGTCTTGCTCTAAATATAGGGTGGTTGAAATTTTTCATATTTTATTTTGCCCTTAAATCTTTTTATGGCCTGCCATTAGGTCCTAGATACAATTAAATATAGAGCGATGGCCTCTTCTCACATGGAGAAGGCTTGAGAATTAATCATGAGAATAAAATATAATTAATGTCTACTCGTGTTATAATAACTTATCGTACATTAATTATTTTAATTTAACCATTCAAAAACGATCCTACTCACTGATCATATACAGTCCAAAAACGCAACGCAACGCTTTTTGAAATACCGAACTAAACAGAATCAATGGAATAAAAACAAAAATATTTAAAAATGGAAAAAAATATGAGTGTGTCATTGCTACTGGCCAGTTACTGGTTTGTCATAGAACGAATGGCGTCTAGCCGCAGTCGATATGCGACATGTTGACATACGCGGTCATGTCGATAGACTGACCTCCCAAATACAGGACGATAGTTCAACCACAACTTTATACTATTTTTTGTGAAACATCTACAGCATTGTGTTTCGCCGTGTGAGTGATGTTATTGGAAGCCCAATCCTTCCCCTCCCCCCATTTCTTCCTAATCCTTAAATATCCGTAACCCTTATCCCCAAAAGACTAGCAACGCACTCGTAACTCCTTTGGTGTTGTTTGTTGATCGGTAATTCGTTTGCTCATTTGCCGACGTATCTCAGAAAAAAGAGACAGATTTTATTAACCTTTTGACCGCTATGGCCAGCTATAGACGACAAATGAAAAATAGCCTATTTCGCCAATGTTGAGCATAGCTGATTCGAAATCGTCATTTAAGTAAATTTAGTTTCTCGGTTATGGCC